AGCCTGGGCCAGACTATGAGGTCAGTTGGAGACCTTTAAACTGCTTCAGACGCATCCAAAGATTCGTGTCATTTAACACTTTCGCACTTTCTTGTGAACAACTGCGCTCCCTTATCTCACCTGAATGTGGGCTGACGATTAACCGTACGACTTCTAGACGATGCAACTAAACTAGGCACAACCTTCAGCCTTCCTATAAAGGCACCGAAGCTGGCCACCAGCACTTAACGATAAGCTCTCCCAATTTCTTCATCGAGACGTAGGTGGTCATCGCACTCTTATTGCTGCATATTGCGAGATTGTCATGATGAGACGGTGACGAAGTCTACAACTGATCTTACTTCACGTTACGTGAGGCGATCTCTGAGCAACGACAAATCAGCTCGGAACTGTGGGGCTGACCGCACTCAATTGTCCACTAGCAGGCGGAGTGGTCCGTCACGTCACCATTCTCCATCGTTCTGGTAATGGTGGAAGCGTTGACGTTGCTGCCATTTGTGATGCTGTTGCAGGCCTCGTCACTGGTGTCGCGTGCTTCCGTTTCGATGTTTGGCAGGGTGGTATCTGAGGTTGGTCGCCGGTGTGAGTTGAACAGACTAAGCAGAACCGGAAGGAGCATGTGAGGGTTCCGGGAAAGGTGACTGGCGACAAGTAAACCCAATTCATTGGGTGTCAATGGTGGAAGGGGATAAAATGTTTGCAGTGGTAGCATGGCATTAACATTGGTGCAAGGAGTATACAACAGCAGTAGTCGACACTTGCCTGTGAAGCGCACTTAATGCGCGGAGTTGCCACATCTCCTGACACATGTTAACCATCCCAAGGCCAACGGTTCCCACGAAGCAAACGGGTGTTCAAGAGGAAGACAAGACCCGACACACTCAGCGTATCACGCTTTTCAGCGCATCCGCCTTCTAAAGCAGAAACGCCAAACATGACGTTGAAATATATGCAGTTAACAAGTTGTAAGCATAAACAGTACACCACACCTCTACTTGGATCAGAAGCACGCATGCCTGAAAACTGGCGCTGCTTGAGCAGACAAACTAGGGGATAGCCGAAGAGTAGGATTAGAATTGCCACTAGTGACAAGCTCAGTAATCGGTC